TCCGCTTTCGCAAATTGATCTAGTAACTTCTGCTCGCCGCAGCGCGAACACTGCAGGTGCTTCTTCAGCTCCTCGCACTCAAGGCACATTCCCCCTTTGCGCCGGGCGTTCCCTGCCTTCTCCCATTGGAAGTCTACGAACGCATCCTCGTACTTCCGCCCCTCGCATACGTAACACTTTCGCCTCTCGGGACAGTCCACGCAACGCCGTGACGTGAGCTTCGAGCTGTGGTGCTGGGATGCATGGAAAGCATCCTGGCCCTTCCACAGAAAGCATTCCGTGCACTGCCACGGCGTGCCAATGCTCTTCTTGCCTTCCAAGCACACCTTGCACACGCGGCGACCGTCGTCCCGGCTCCACTGCCCGAGCGCGCACTGGTTCTTGCACTTCACCGACGAGCACAGTGCGCACGCCCCTGCAGGCATGAACTCCTTCTCGATCGCCTCCCAGTCCATCGGGTCTCCCCGCAACACCTGTAACAGTAATCCGGGCCCCTTCCGCTCCTTCTGAGTGTACGGCGCACGGTCGAAAGGCCGAAATATCAACATGTCTTCGCGGCGACGCACGCGCGTCAGAGCCACATAACTCGACAACGGCGACGTGCCCCCGCCCATCCTGAGGTCCACGATGACACCCTGCTTAAAAGTCTGGCCCTGTGCTGAATGGGCGGTGACTCCAAACGCTGGGGCCAAGGGGAACTGCCGCCGCTCCACTTTCAGACGCGGGCACGGCCTGCCCTTGTCGACGAACCAATATTTTTTCTGCGGGGTCACTGGGTGCAGGCCCGGCGTCTTCAGCCCCTGTATCGTCCACTTGCACGGAATCACGTTCCCTGCGTCATCGCGACCCTCACCGAAGAGGACAAATATCACTTTCGGCGTCTTCTGCAATATGGTCTCTCCCCCCCGGGAGACGCAACCTGCTCCTTCGTCGCCATCACACACCCATGAGTGCACGGTCCCCACGCGTCCGCGGAGTAGGTACTTGTCCTCGCTGCGGTCGATATGATATGTGAGGGCCCCAGGCATTCCCTCCGCGACTGGCAAAAAACCATACAGGTCTCCGCTCTCCTTGTCGTGACGCTTACTCCTGCGACTCCCACCCACTAGCCCATCTGCTTGTTTCGGACGGCAAAGCACCAGAAGGTTCACAACCCTGCGGGAGCGCCGCGACACTCGCGGCAACAGCGGGACAGTGATCGCGCGAGGACTGAAATGGACAATCTCTGACTTCCCCAAAACCTGAAAAGAAAAAAAAAAACGAAACCCGGGATGTCCCAACAAAACACCTGCAGAGCCTTCTTTGGGGTCGGCGGCAGAGGCGGCAGCCTTTATATATACACACAAATATGTGTAGCTATATCTATACTATATATATATATATATATATATATGTGTGCATTGTGTTCGCGCGCGAGGGGCGGCCCCTCGGTCCCTGGCAAGGTCTCCACAGAGATGGTTTTGGGCGCCACCCTCGGGGCCTCCCAAAGAGCCCCAAGAAAAACCCGTAGACCGCCAATATGCCGTCGAGACGGTCCACAAGAGCCCCGAGACGCCACAAGATCGCTCCCAGACGCCCAATATAGCCTCTAGATGGCTCACGAGGCCTCCAAGACGCCCCAGGAGGTCTCCACGAGGCCTCCCCAAAAAGTCCCAGGAAGCAACATTCATTGATTCTCTAGTGGTGTTTGTCGGATGTTCGCGTTCTCGCCTCTTCAGTTTACCGACGCTCCAACGCGGCCCAAGAGGCCCCCAAGACCGCTCCAAGACGGCCCAAGGATCTCCAAGAGGGCCCCAAAACAACCCCAACACAGCCCAAGAGAGCCCCAATATTGCCCAAGAGGCATCGAAGACTGCCCAAGAACCCCGCAAGGCGGCTCCAAGACAGGGCCCAGACGGGGGCCCGAGCGGCCATTTCGAGCTCGTTGCCCGAAGAGGGCCCCCTGGAGGCCCCGCCCCCAAGAGGCCCCCGAGAGGCCCCCAAGAGGCCCCCTGTGAGGCCCCCGTGAGGTCCCGAAAATACCACCAAGAGGCCACCAAGAGGCGTCCCGAGAGACCGCAAGACGCCTGCCGAAGAGGCGCCTTGCCCACGATCAAGGATTGGCTCCAAAATACCCCCCAGGAAGCCATCGAGAGGCCCGCTCGACCACACCACATGGGAAGCACGAGTGTGCGGGGAACCGAAAGCCGTCAAACAATATTGGCCCGCGGAATGAGCGGAGCGATGAACTACCTGCAATGGCGAATGGGCCTCCCCTGAAGAGAACACTACGCTTCAGAAGGCGTCACAGCCGCACGGGCACTGTGAGACCTGCAGTGGATATATGCCCAACCATGACAGTCAGAGTACAACGACTACCTGGCCTTCGGAGCCTTGGAGCCCCCTGAGCTCCCCCCAAAGGGGAGTTGTAGGAAGAGCGGCCCGCCTGAGCTGTCCAAGAGCACCTCGCCCAATGAAGCCTGCCAGGTCTACGAGGCCTCCGGGATCCGGAAAAGACTGGGGCGGCGGCGTCTGTCCCCCCATGGGCGTTCAATTAAATGAAGCAGGTTCGGAGAATGCAAATACCACGGCTCGCCATCACAGGTGCCGCAACAGCAAGCAACATCGCCCTCCACCTGGCAGTGAAGTCTATGTCCCAGCCAATGGCCATGGCGTTCAGGATGATAACACCTGCGCCCCGACCAGCCCGTCTTCGGAGCTGACAGAGCCGTGCACACACATGTCAGGTTCCAGAAACCGCGAACCCAAAAATGTTGTCATCTCTTCGGGGCGCATCTGGAGCAACCACGAGGTACCGATGCCGCCACTCCCTGGACCTCCCCTGGGGTGAGTTATGGCCAAAAAAAATCCTAGGCGAAGCAAGCGGTGAGAACGAGAGCCTCCCAGGCGGCGCACACAGGGGATAACCACGGAACGGTAGCCGCACGGGTACAGTGCGGGCGCGGCCGCAAGAAACCCTCGCAAGAAGCCCAACCCTGCGAACCCGTGCGCGAGGTGCACCTGAGGGAAAACCCGGAGCACCCTGAACCCAGCAGCTCCTTCAACGGCTGCGGGAAGGCACCGCGCAGCGCGGGGAGCGAAGAAATCCAGGATACCCTGACGAAAAGCATGTGGTTTCTTGCTGCGAGCTCCCACTGTACCTATTCCTCCTCCGAGCATCTGTTGCTCCCGCCAACTTCTGCCGGCCTTCCGCCTGCGGAGGCGCCCCCGCCTTCCCTTCCGCCGACTGCCGCCGACCGTCCGCCGCCCACCGCCGAGGAAGAGACGCCCACTCCTTCGACCCCGCGAAGGCGAGGCCCCCTCTTGAACGCCTCCGACGAGAACAAGGCTCCCCATCCTGGTCCCGATCCCCCTCCCCGGCGAACCGAGTCGGCCGAACCGAGCCCGGGCGAACCGGGTCCCGGCGAACTGAACTGGGCCGATCGAGTCGGACGAACCAAGCCCCGGCGGAGCGAGCCCCGGCGAACCGAGACTCCCGCGCACCGAGTCCGTGCCTCCCAACCCTCGTCCCGATCCCCCTTCCCTCTTGGCCCAAGCCTTAGGTCGGGCATGTCCCCTTACAGGCGGATTTCGGACGAAAAATTACTCCGACTGTAGGACCCCGCACGATAATATGTTTATACATTGCCTGGGGGGTGGGGGGGGCGTGGGGCTGGTGATCTCCTCCTGCCCCCTCCCTTCTCCCACCTACCGACGCTCCTCCGTTCTCCTGCCTTCTCCTCCTCTGACGCAATCCTGCCTCCTCCTGCTCTTGCTCACCCACCACTACTCCCTCCTCCTCCTCCTCATCCTCCTCCTCCTCCTCCTCCTCCTCCTCCTTCTCATCTACTCCTCCTCCTCCCTCTCCTTCATCTCCTCTCCTCCTCACTCCTCCTCTCCTCCTCCTCCTCCTCTGCTCCTCCTCCTCCTCCCTCCTCTATCCTCCTACTCATCCTCTCCTCCCTCCTCCCTTTCCTCCCTCTTTTTCCCTCTCCCTCTCCCTCCTCCCTCCTCACCCTCCTCCCCTCCTCATCTGCCTCCTCCTCCTTTGCGCTCTGACTCCTCACGGGGCCTGCGCGTCTCCCTGGGGGCCTTCTGGAGATTCTGGGCTCTCGGACATATGGGGAATCCTTAATGCGGGTTCCCCCCCCCCCCCTTCGCCCCTCTGGAAGCGCGGGGTTCAGCGCGAAACGCGCGGGGTCTTTTCGCTCCCCCCCCTGGAAGCGCGGGGTTCAGCGCGAAACGCGCGGGGTCTTTTTCGGTTCCCCCCCTGGAAGCGCGGGGTTCAGCGCGAAACGCGTGCTGTCTTTTCATGAGCCAGCCGGCTCGAAGACCCTGCGCGTTGCGCGCTTGACCCCACGCTCGTCCGCTCTCCCACGACAGGCGCGAGCGCACTCAGAGCGCTCGCGCACTCAGCGCGCTCACGCCTGTCGTGGGAGAGCGGATGAGCGCAGGGTTTCGCGCTTGACCCCGCGATCTTTGGGGGGGGATCCCCCCCTAAGATCGCGGGGTCAAGCGCGCAACGCGCGGGGTCTTCTTGAGCACCAAACAAGCGTTTCCCCCCCTCGAACCTATCCTCCGTTGCCCCTGCCCGAAGGTTTGGGCAGTGGGGGCCACGGCCAATAGAGCGCTGCCCGAGGTCGGGACTCAACACTCCACAAGTTCCTGTTGCCCTTGAACACCCTCCACGCTCCCTGCCCGGGGTCTGGACGGGGGGGCCAAGACACACAGAGCGTCCAATATCTCAGATGATGGCTTCGAGGGGGCCCCAGATAGTCGAGGACGGCCCCGAAAATCGCACAACAAGGTTCGACTTGCAGTGGATATGGCCTCCATTATGCCTCCAAGAGGCCACATCAGGAACGTTGGAACGGGATGAAGTGGCTACAGACTTTCCCAGAATTGCCCCCGAGAGGCCCAAACCGTCCACAAATCCAACGGAAGATTTCGACATTGTATTTGCTGTCTCGCCGCGTCGCGTTCGATAGCATTCCAAAGCCACAGGAAAGCCACATGCGATTCCCCCCTCATGTCGACAACCTCTCACACGCTTCGTGGCCCCATGCAACCTTCGCGCGCGTCGTGGCACCGCAGGGAGTTCCACCGAAGGCTCCATTGGGAAGATCCACATGCGGTTCTCCGCCCATTACACGCTTCGTGGCCACAGCCCTAGTAAAATTGCTAACACGACAAGGCGACAAAGCCATGGCACTGGCGCGGAAAAGCACTCGCACATGACAGGATACAACCCGTAGCGAACGCCAAGCGTATTTTCGACGAGCTGTGCAAAGGATGAGGAGCCGACAAGGGAGGAGGCGGAAGAGAAGTAGGCGTCTCCGCGGCTGCGGCGGTGCAAATGATGCAGCGGTTCCCCCCCTGTGAGGCTGGCGCGGAACGCACACCCCTCTCCCTAGGGCGCACCGATAGTCAACAGCTCGAACGCCTTGCTCACCACGATCTTGCCCACGAAGCTGTAGGGATGCGGACGATGGCTGGCGATCCCTCCTGACCCTCCTCATCCTTCTCATCATCATAATCATCATCATCATCATCATCATCATCATCATCATCATCATCATCATCATCATCATCATCATCATCATCATCATCATCATCATCATCATCATCATCATCGTCAGCATGGTCGCCGTCGTCGTCATCCTCGAAGTCATCATCATAATCAGAAGTATCACCATCATCATCAGCATCATCATCATCATCATCATCAGGATCATCATCATCCTCATAACCATCAGCATCATCACCATCATCACCATCGTCATTACATTCATTGGCACCAACGTCATCATCATCATCATCAACAGCATCACCATCATCATCAGCATCATCCATAGTTCCCTATGTAAGATCAGCATCATTATCATCAGCATC